TCTTGACCACGAAGCAGCATTACTGCACTTGATTACCACCTTATTAATTAGAATTTGCCTCAAGTGACCTAGCTGTTTCCAAAGAGCAAATCTTCATCAAAGGGTAATGATTTGCCACTATTTCAGACTTTAGGACATTTAAAAAACATTTCACCTTATCCCACACAATACACACACACACAAAAATCCAGATGGATTAAATCCAAATTCATAAATTCACCAATTTAACAAATAGTTATTCAGTACCTACTGTGTGTAAAGCACAGTTCTATGCCCTCGGGATAAATAGTGAACAAAACAGACTGAAATCCCTACTCTCTTGAAAATTACATTCTAGCTGGGTGGTGAAGCAAACAATAAGTCAATTGTGTATTATGTGAGAAAGTAATGAGTGCTATCAAAAAAGGAAAAAGCAGGTGGATTGGGAGGGCTGGAGTGGGGACAGTTAAAATTTGAAATTGTGTAACCTTGCTGAAAACTGATAAGTGGGCAAAGATCTGGAGAAGATGAAGGAGTCATTTCTGCTGATACCCAGGGGGAAAGTGTCACGGGCAGAGTCAACTGCTAATATAAACGCCTTTTTTCATCTTTCCTTTTTTATTTTACTTTAAGTTCCATTATACATATGCAAAACGTGCAGGTTTGTTACATATGTGTACATGTGCCATGGTGGTTTGCGGCACCTATCAACCAGTCATCTAGGTTTTAAGCCCCGCATGCATTAGCTATTTGTCCTAATGCTCTCCTTCCCCTTGACCCCCCACGCCGCGACAGGCCCTGGTGTGTGTGTTCCCCTCCCTGTGTCCATGTGTTCTCATTGTTCAACTCCTACTTATGAATGAGAACATGCGGTGTTTGGTTTTCTGTTCCTGTGTTAGTTTGCTGAGAATGATGGCTTCCAGCTTCATCCATGTCCCTGCAAAGGACATGATCTCATTGTGGAAGACAGTGTGGCAATTCCTCAAGGTTCTAGAACCAGAAATACCATTTGACCGAGCAATCCCAATACTGGGTGCATACCCAAAGGATTATAAATCATTCTACTATAAAGACACATGCACGCATATGTTTATTACAGCACCATTTACAATAGCAAAGACTTGGAACCAACCCAAATGTCCATCAACGATAGGCTGGATAAAGAAAATGTGGCACATATACACTATGCAGCCATAAATGCCTTTTTAAAAGTGGGCACGTGCCAGGCTAGTTGAGGATTCAACAAGGAGAGCAGTATGGCTAGAGCAGAGTGAGGGGGGGGGACATATGCTAAGAGATGAGGTCAGAGAGGTGGTGGTGTGGATAAGATAGATAGATCATTTTAGCGTCTTCTAAGCTATTTTATTTTTTTACATTTTAGTAATATGTTTTACTTAACCCAATACATCCCAAATATTATTTCTATAATCAGCATAAGAATTAATGATATTTTTCCATTTTAAGTCTTTGAAATCTAATGTGCTTGCTACACTTACAGCACATTTCAAGCATTCAAAAGTCACTTGAGGCTTGTGGCTGCCACATTGGACAGCACAACTGTAAGAGAAATACAAAGGGCACTGGAATTGACTTTAGCAAATTTAGGGGCTTATAATTGCCCCCATCAACCACTTAGAATGTGTTAACTAAGGTACTTCACACATGGGCTATAAATTTCTAGGTAATTTTTTGTTTGTTCATTTGTATTTTTTTTTTTTTTGAGACAAGAGTCTTGCTCCCCAGTCACCCAGGCTGGAGCGCAGTGGCCTGATCTGGGCTCACTGCAACCTCCAATTTCCGGGTTCAAGCAATTCTCCTGTCTCAGCCTCCCGAGTAGCTGAGATTACAGGTGTGCACCACCACACGCCCAGCTAATTTTTTTTTTTTTTTTTTTTTTTTTTTTTTTTTGTAGAGACAGAGTTTCATCACGTTGGCCAGGCTGTTCTCAAACTCCTGACCTCAAATGATCCACCCGCCTAAGCCTCCCAAAGTGCTGGGATTACAGACGCGAGCCACCGCACCCAACCTGTAGCTATTTTAAATGCTTTGGTTTCTACCAAATTGGAAGAATCTGAGCAAAGGTGAGACGTGATTAAAAGAATCTGAGCAAAGGTGAGACATATTAAAAGGATCCTTTTGCCGGCTGTGATAAGAATAGACTGTGAGAAGGACAAAGGTGGAAGCAGGGAGACCAGTTAGGAGGCTATTGCCACGATCCAGGTAATGGGCACTGGTGGTTCAGATGAAAAGGAGGGCAGCGAAGGTGGGGGAAGTGCTCGGAGTCTAGATAGGCTTGAAACACAGAGCGCAAAGAATTTGCTGACGAATTAGATGTTTTATGAGAAAAGGAGAAGACTCGAGGATGATAGCAAGGTTTTGTCCTGAGCAACTAGAAGAACAGAATTGCATAACTGAGATTGCAAGAGATAAAATTATGGAAGCATTAACAGAATATATAATATCATATATTATATAATAATAATATAGAATAACATTTCCGTAGTCTTGGATTGGGGAAGGCTTGCCTAAGGAAGGCATGAAAGTCAGAAGCTGCAAAGAAAACAATTGATAGATTAAAACATACTGAAAATTTCTTTAGGGTGAAAAACATAAAATTAAAAAGGAAAGTGATAGATCAGAAGAAAATATTTATAACATAGATACCAAACCCAGGGTAAGATTCATAATATATAAATGGTAATTCTATAATATCAGAAGACAGATAACCCAGTGGAAAAATGGACTAAGGTTGTAAACAAGCAATTCACAGGGAAAGGAATACCAGTTAGGCCAGTAAACCTCTACAAAGATGCCCAACCACATTACAGAAATACAAATTAAAGCAACAATGCAATACCGATTTTCACCCATGATACTAGTAAAAATAAAAGGCTGAGGACCACAGAGGAGGTTTACAGAAAAAATAAATAAATAAAAGACTGATAATTTTCATTGCCAACAAGGCTGTGGAGAAGAAGGCACTCTCATACACTCTTAATGGAGGTATGGTTTGTAAAGAATTTCTGGCAGACAATTATGCAGTCTACCAAAAATATAAACTACATACCCTTTGATCAAGCAATTCCATTTCTAGGAACCTAATCTACAATAATAATCACACAAGTGGGCAGATCTAGACAAAAGGATGTTCATTGCACCATTGTCAATAATATTGAAAAACTGGAAACCATCTAAGAATTTACCAATAAGAGAATGATGAAATAAATTGAGGTACATTCATATCATGAAATACCATGCAGCCTTAACATGGACAAGGTTGATCTATAGATACAGTTGGACATAGTGACAGAAAGAGAGAATAAAAATACTTTTTTGAAGGGAGAAAAGCAAATTATAGAACAAAACGTATAGTATTATCTTTATGTTTTAAAAAACCTCGTGTGTGTATGTGTGTGTGTGTGCTTGTGCATGTGTACATGCATAGGAAAAGGTCTGAGAAAAATGCTAAACTCCTGTTCCTTGTGAGCCTGGGAAAAGGATTACATGTGTGAGTGAATGAATGGGACTTTTTTCCCTCTGTATCCTTGTTTGTCCTTTGAAAACCATTTACTATCAAAATGTATTACTTTTGTAATTTTTAAGTTAAAAAGTAGGGATAAATCAGATTTCAGATATTTCTGAAAGTTCCCAAGGAAGAATACTGGGGGCAGTAGCATATTTGTTACATTACAATCACACTGTGCCATTGTGTGGTGTGATAGGAACAGCTTCTAATGCGTGCTATGGTGACCTTGGCAAAGGCACAGCATTTTTTTAGCCTCAGTTTTCTTATATAGAAAATGTAGGTAATACCTGACTTATTTGTTGTATTGGAAAGCTGCAAAGATAAAATGGAAAATTAGTTTAAAAATTACAAAGCTCTGTAAAACTACAAAGGATATTTAACATTTCGTGTCCTAGTTAATGATCCACTTTTTAAAGCAATAGTTAACATAAAAATTCAGGTCCAAGCAGAGAGTTTAAATTCTCTTTTAGAGTTTGTTATAACAGAATTCTTCCTGTCCTGGTTAGGTCTTACATAGCAGCAGTATAGGTATTTTACTTAAATATTCCAGAGTGTTTTGTGTTTGCACGAGAGATTTTGGTGCAGATGGATTTGGGCAACATCCTTAAATCATACCCTCCACTGCACTCATCTTAGGGCCAATCAACTCGGACATACTGAATTAATTAGCCAGCTCTTACTTAGCACCTACTTTGTGCCTAGTAATCCCCTGTGGGTAGGTGACCAGACACTCAGGTTTGTCTGGCACTGTCACTGTTTATGCTGTCTTTCCCAGGTAATTGCTAATAGTGCCCCTTTCACTTTCAAAAGTGTCCTAGTTTTAATGATCAATGGTCACTCTACTATAATCACCTATGGGGCATGGAAGGAAACACAGGAAGCCTCTGGCTTACAAACGCCAGACTTACACATTTTGCTCCCCATTCCAGCTCCTCACCACTGGAAATGCGGGTATTAGTTCCAGGGTGGGAGGCATTGTGAAAACTGTGGGTCTTTTAGAGACTTGGTGGACTTAGAAGTCGAAGCAGAACCAAGCCTGAGAAGAGGTGGTATGGATCGCCAGAGGCCCACCCTACAAGTTGTCCTCCTTTGCAAAATCTTCTCCCTCAGACTATTTCTCTATTGCATTGCCTAATCCTCCTGGTCAGAGATTTATTTGAGGAAAATAAGCTATATATATATATATATATATATATATATATATATTTTTTTTTTTTTTTTTTTTGAGACGGAGTCTCGCTTTGTCGCCCAGGCTGGAGTGCAGTGGCCGGATCTCAGCTCACTGCAAGCTCCGCCTCCCAGGTTCACGCCATTCTCCTGCCTCAGCCTCCGAGTAGCTGGGACTACAGGCGCCCGTCACCACGCCCGGCTAATTTTTTGTATTTTTAGTAGAGACAGGGTTTCACTGTGTTAGCCAGGATGGTCTCGATCTCCTGACCTCATGATCCATCTGCCTTGGCCTCCCAAAGTGCTGGGATTACAGGCGTGAGCCACCGCGCCCGGCCAGCATTGTATTTTTAATAGCACAAACAGGTTGGGGAATGTTCAACGAAACTAATTTTTTTCCCCCTTCCTAACATGGAGCTGCTGTTTGCTTATACAGGGGAAAGGTAGGGTTTCTGGGAGGAATAGAGATGAAAGGAAAAAGTAATTTTGGAGCATGAGATATTCTGGGGAATGAGACTCTCCTTTAGGGCAAACTAGGGACCCAAGAGCCAGGGGGCCATGAAGGTGGGAGGCAGAAGAGAAGGCGGATGTCAGAGACACGCAATAGTTATTTGGGGGAAAATTGTTGATTTGTGCACAACTCATATCTTGGGAAATGAAAGGAATGTTCTTTCTCTGTCACCTGCTGTTCCTCTTCACCCTCCACTGCCTTATATGGCCCAGTACGCAGAATACAAACCAGTGCTAGATTACATGCTACATGCCTGACAGTGAGACATTGCTTCTGCAGGAGTTCTTGCTTCCAGTCAATGAGTTTACCACTACATCTTGGGACACACTCATTTTAAAGTTGGGAACTGCCTGTATAAGACATGGTTACTGCCCTGGAGGGATTCACAGCGACTAGATTTAAGGGAGACCAGTTAATAAATAGGAAACTACTGGAGAATAATCAATGGTCAGCTGTAGGATATTGGTTTTAAGTAAAATGCAAGTTTATGCTAGGGTGGTATGTCGGTTCATTGAAATTCTCACATAGGACAGTATGACTGATCTATGCTAAGAATATACTTGGATAGTAAGAGGAGGAAGAAGAAAATTCTAAATGGTGATGGAAATCAACTGGAGCCAATGTTTGGCATCAGACATGAGCATGGACAGGATAGGCTGCTGCAAGGATGAATCAGGCCTGATGGAAGCATAATGGCTTTCTAAGAAGCAGTGGGAGATTGGCATGGCTAAAGTAAGATGGGGTCAAACATTTCCTGTAAATTAAAGTTCATGAAACATATCACTTGAAATTTGCACACATTTCATGTGACTGAACACTTTGAGGCAGAAAGTCTTGACATACTTTTTCAGGGGCATGAGTTAATGTGGCTAAAGTTCAGATGAGGTGAGGATCAGATCTTGGAAGAACGAGAATCCATATTAAGGACTTTGGATTTGATGAAATAGTGCATTTATGGTGTTATTGGAAATACTTCATTAGGGCTGGAGCATTGGCTTGTGGCTGGCACACAAGATGAAGGTGGAAGAAGTCAGGGATACCACTTAGGAAGCTGCTATGATAGGCCAGGAGTGAGGAGCTGAGTACCTGGACCAAGACGGAAGCAGCAGGTTGGAGAAAACACATCTGAAAGTCTCTGTGGAGATGGAAATGATAGGACTTAGAGATCGCATAGGGTGAGCCACAGAAAGTCCGTAGGTTTCTCTGGGTAACTTAAGCATAATAGGAACACTATTAGAAGTTCATGTTCCCATGAAAGTTCCTTACCTGTGGAGCCTCCCATGCCCTCCTGGTGAACCTCCATTTCTAAGGAAACCCTATAGCATCTATTGAGTAATTTAATTCTGCAAAAATTCAGACGTCTCCAATGGAAGTCTTTAAGCACATATTCACTAACTTGATTTTGCAAAATTATGTTAGCAAATATGTGCTATAAGGTTTCCAACCCGACAGACATAAGCATGTAAATCATTCTACTGCTAGTTTTGGTGGAGGGTAGTGACAACTGTCAGTGTTTCATAAAAGAGTAACATGTCCAGAGTTTGTTCGCACAGAAATGAATGCTTTTTAGCTTCATCACCCCTGTGCCTTTCCCATGAACCCCGTCTCCCCAGGAAACGATATAGCACCAATTTAATAACTTAATTTGTAAAAGGAGGTTAGTGAATCAATTCTGTAAGACTCATGGAAATATTTGAAATTAATTAGCCTTGTCAGCTTTTATTTGCGTAGGCTGTCTTTAAACCATATCCCCCAGTCCAAGTACAACTTTTTAGCAAGACTGATTTTAAACAATGAGACTTAGAGAATCTGTGTACAAGGAGCTTGAATAATTTAAATGCGTGAGTTTATTATTAACACAGTAGCAAATATATCAAGGAAACACGCCCCATGAAAAGTGTTTCAAAGAAACACAAATCTGTTCTGAGAAAGGTCTATACACAATAAGTAAGCCCAAAGAGGCATGTTTGCTTGGTGATGCCCAGCAGATAAGCCTGGCAAACCTCGGTGTGATCGAAGAAGCCAATTTGAGACTCAGCCTAGTCCAGGCAAGCTACTGGCACCTGCTGCTCTCAACTAACCTCCACACAATGGTGTTCGCATTTTGGAAGGTCTTTCTGATCCTAAGCTGCCTTGCAGGTAAGGAAATGATCTCCGAACCCTCCGAACCACCAAAGATAATTGGAAACAGAGTTTCCTTTTAAACAAAAATTCCACATTTTTACATAGAATTTTCCCCTCCTGTACTTCAAATGAATTGTGATTAGTATGCTGAGTTACATAATTTTCAGAACTTTTGCTTAGCAAACATATGCCATGCTGATATATTAGGGGCGTAAGCCTGTAATATTATTGTTTTATGGAGCTTCTGAATGAAAATTTTCTCAGAAAAAAAATATAGTGTATTACTTCACTTAGGTTGAAAGGTGAACAAATGAATTTACTCAGAAACCAAAGTTTGTGCTAGGGATAATTTTGTCTCTGTTTTACTTTAATGTTTCCTTTAAGCTCAGTGATTGACTTGCCTTGCTCCAGCAGGCAGAGCCTGGGTTGGAGGGCCTGCCCTGGCTTACACGTGGGAAGAACAGAACTTTACTGAGTGCTTTACTGTCTAATATTTCTTAGGGAGTTGTGGTTTTCCAATCCTAAGACTATATTTTGCAAAATATGTGAGTCATTTATGGTGCACAATATGGGTGATTTTAGGGATCTGAACAGAAGAAAATCAATTTTGAAATCAAGATACTGATGTTAGTTAGATCCAGGAGAGATCATTAATTCCGAAAATCCCTTGGCTAGTTTTTTCAAATATCAGATACATTTTGCATCTGTTCTTATAAGTTAGGTCCATAGTAAATACAATAATATTGTTTATCCAAAAACAGGATTTTTAAGCCATTAGTGATATTAGGCAGTCGTTAGAATGAGGTTTACTAGGCATATTTAATGACATAAGAAAATGCCCAGGATAAAATATTAAGTGAAAATGCAGGATACACACATATGCCTAAAATAAATTACTAGAAGGTTGTATACTGAAGTGCCATGGTGGTTGCCTCTGGGTGATGGAATTATAGATAATTTTAATTTTGTTTCCCAGCTTTTCATACTTCCTAGGTTTTCTACGAAGAACATTATGCTACTTTTATAATTAGAAAAAAAGTGTTACTTTTCAAAATGATCTCATGTTTAGAAATAGTTCCTTAAATGTTCATTACTAAATGTTTAAGCATAGATGTTTTATGGACTTAAACATCACCAGAAGGCAACACTCCATTTGTTCAGTGACCTAACTAGGCCCTAGAGCTGGAAACACATGTTCCTATTTTCCCTTCTCCCTAGGCATATTAATTTAAATTTAACTTTAGATATGAAAGTTTTTGTCTCTTCTTAAAGGGTTTCCAGTCATTAGCCAGTTGGGTCGACCCCTGGGCCTTCTGCATCAGCCCTCTGAGATCATACCTGTTTCCCTATGTGAGGCCTTGCCCTGGCCCCTACTAGACACACGGTTTGGAACGGTTGTAAGAACAGTTTTTTTTTTTTAACCGTACCTAACATACATGTAATTTTTACTGATTATAAATGTAATGCATGGTCATTGCAGAAAGGTTGCAAAATATGGAAATTTAAAATAAAATAAAAATCGTCTAGAATTTTACCACTCAGATTTGGGTGAAATATCATTCTTTTATTTGCAGGTGTATATATTACATTTTAAAAATTGGGTTTATTCCTTGTATACTTTTTTATTGTTTAAAACATTGTTTAGCATGACGTCAGGAATTTTATTTGATTGTGACTTTTAGAACAAGGCCCAATCAGAGTGACCAATAAATACTTAAGAGTGTTTTGCCTAAGTTACTATATAACTGATTTTGTTGACATATAGTGTACACTATATATCTATACATATATTATCTAGTTGGCCTAAAGCAAAATATGGCAGTGTCAGTACAGCAAATTGTGGTATGCTCTATTGTCGTTTGCTGTGCTTTCATATGTATTGAAGTCAGAGAAAGGATCACTTTAGTAATCTACTTCTGTCATTAGCAGTGTTCATCAGTTGATCTGGACAACTGATAACGTTTCCATCAATGTACAATTTGATGCTCTTCCTGGACTTGTTTTGGAGAGAATGTCACTTTTTGGTGTTAAGCATGGTGCCTAACACATAGTGGATACATAGTAAATGTTTGTTGAAAGAATGAATTACTTTCCCAAATTCCAAACATCCAGACACGATTTTCACATACATATTTAAATTGATTTTGGTATAACTAAACAGGTCAGATTTTGCTTAAATCAAAATATTTTCAATGACTTCTTGGGAATTCTTAGGTTAAATTCTAATTCAGGAAAATGAGTTTTAATCAAACTTTTCTTCTGCAAAAAATTTATGCATATCATTTTAGACACTTGAAATATGTGTTAGTCACCTCTTAGAAAGATATGTTAATGTGGGTTTCATTTTCTGGAGGTATATGCTATGCATTTTAAAGGAGTAATGTATTTGAACTTTGAGTTTGCAGTCAAATCCAAAAAAGTGGGTGATCATTTGATTATATTATTTCCTAACTCAAAATGAAGCAATTATGCATGAAGTTGCTGGAAATTAAATCACTTCAAATGCATCAGATTAAATATGGCTATTTGGGGGATATTTTGCTGTGGTATATCAGGAGAATAATAATCCTTCTGTAAACAAAATGCTTGCCACATTGTAGGCATTAAATAAATGGACAATCACTACCAAAATGCAAGACATTCTCTCTGTATATATTATTTATATATTATATAATATATCTTATATATAATTATATATCATATAATATATAATATATAATATGATATATTATAAATGTATATAATGTATATATGATATATTATAAATGTATTATTGTTTTTGTTTTATTATATATAATATATAATAGATATAACATGACATATAATATATATTATATGATATCATATTTTATATAACATAATATATAATATATAATATATGCATATAACATATATAATATATAATATATAACATTTACTATATATACCATATATTATATATGATATTATATCTACTATACAATAAAAACAAAAACACTAATAAAATACTATATATTATATATAATATAATTATATATTATATATAATATAATAAATATAATTATATGTAATATATAATATAATTTTATACATAATATATAATATATAATTATATACTATGTATATTTTTTATTTATATATATATATATATTCTTTTGAGACGAAGTTAAGCTCTTGTTGCCCAGGCTGGAGTGTAATGGTGTGATCTCGGTGCACTGCAACCTCCACCTCCTGGGTTCAAGCGATTCTCCTGCCTCAGCCTCTTGAGTAGCTGGGATTACAGGCTTGCACCACCATCTCCGGCTAATTTTGTATTTTTAGTAGAGACAGGGTTTCTCCATGTTGGTCAGGATGGTCTCAAACTCCCGACCTCAGGTGATCCACCGCCTTGGCCTCCCAAAGTGTTGGGATTACAGGCATGAGCCACCAGGCCCAGCCTAAAAATATTTTTAAATGTTGATTAAATGCGTACATCTTGGATTATTTTTCTTCAGTAATAAGCACTGGCTTTTAAAAGAGATTACACATATTTCAACCACATATGCATTTTTGTTTTATTTTTAAATTTAGTCATGTCAGAGAGGGACATTGCGTTCGTGGGTTTTGTTGAAATCAGATACTAATCTTTACTTTGCTGTTTATTCATAGTCCTGTTGATATAGTGATTTTTCTGACTTATTCAATTTTTAAATAATTTCTCAACTTAGACTGACTTAATCCAAAGGAAGGGAAATTCTTTCCCTGACACTCAGAGAATCACCTCCACTTTAGGACTAAATTTGCACTGTCCATTGTCTACATGTGGCTATCGAAATTTAAATCACTTCAGATTAATGAAAATTATAAAGTCAGCTCCTCAGTTTCACTAGTCACATTTCAGGTGTTCAATAATTCTGTTTGGGCTACTGAATTGGATGGTGCAGAGATCGAACATTTCCATCATCACAGGAAGTTCTGTTGGACAGTGCTGTAAGGGTGAGCTCAGAGGTTTTAGGTAATGTGCACTACTGAATGATGTGACATTTTAAAAAGGTTCATCTGGAAATATGTAACTTTTAGCTGTGAAGCATATCATCACTATATCATGGTTGGACAATGTCTGAAAACCATCTTTTCTTCAGAATTTAATTGGTTATGCGCCAGAATTGGGAATCTGGGCGATAAAATGGTCTGGAGGTTTTGCTTTGCCAATTGTTACTTATTTACATGACAATGTGTAATACCTCAAAAAATATTATCTCACTTTAAAATTTGAAATTACCATCCTAATTCTAATGTGATATTATTAAACTTTTGCAGATTTCTAATTAGATACACATTTATATATCTTCTATATTTAAAATGTTGGAAATGTTCGAGTCAGATTTATATTTCCCAAATCCTTGATTTTCATTCACCTCTATTCTCATCTGTGCTATAAATGGCTTCCTGCTGCACTGAGGGATGGCAGAGATTGTGTCTGTCGTGTTCATTATTGTTTCCCCAGTGTTTAGCACTGTTTGTGGCACAAAATGGGTGCTCAACTGATATTTGTTGCTAGGCTCCACAGCCTCTTCCATGGCTTGACTTGTGTGAGTACTGTGTGTACTCTACCATAAAGTACTTTTTCCAAGAGTGGTCTTCAAAGGCGGTTTGTGGGGGTTTGTTTATTATTTTGCCTTATCTGTTCATAAACTCTCACCCTTAGCCAATCTCGTAACAGATACTGGGTCCCAAACTAGAGAACAGAATTTATGGCCAAATAATATCTCTAAAATCTCTGTTTTTAGGGAATAAGTCTGGGAACTTTAAGGGCTACCAAATCCCCAGTTTTATCATTTTTATTTTGGACACTTTAAAGACATTTGGAAGTCATCATTTAAGCACAGCCAGAGATGTAGCTAACTTCCAGGATAAATGAAATGGATTCTTTGAGAGTGGGATGGAACCATCTTTCTCCAATGAAGTTTTTGTTGGAAAGATTAGCTGCTTTCTGAAAGCCAATTTCCCTTTTGGAGGAGGCATTATGGAAACCAGGAAAGCATGGGGAGGAGAAT